GCTTGCAGGAGTTACATGTCTTTCCCCATGCGGGACAATGGGAATGACGAGGAGGCATGCCAGGGATGCCATGGTCTTTGCTACCACAACCATTGCAAGTTTGGTTAGGTGGGAAGTTCGGTCGCTTTTGCTTGCGATATGGCGAAGCTCGAGCGGCGTGAACGTCAGCAGAGTGTTGAAATTGAGATTGGTCACGAAGGGCAGTCTCAAACGCCTCGGCATGCTTAACAATGTCCTCGATAGTCTTGAGGTTGCCAGCCTTGGCTAGAATGTCTGTCTGAAGTTGTACGTTGTGTAGCCCACGGATAAACTGATCCCTAATGTGCATTGCTGAAATGTTTACAGAGCACGTAGGGCAAGAGAACTCACAGTCAATAGCGAGAGTTCGTATGCGAACTAAGAAATCTTGGATTGACTCAGACTCATGCTGTGTTAAATTACCAAAGTTCATTCGATGCACGACGGGATTAGCACGTTTCGTCACAACACTTTCGATGGTCTTAAGCATTTGGTCCTCAGGCAACTGTAAAAACTCTGGGAAGGAGTTAATGAGTGTATTCTGAACGGATTCGTCACAAGTGCTGTATAAATGCGAGGCAAACTCTGAGGTAGGTAGGCGAGTGATTTTCTTGTATACGGTCCAATCAATGAGGAACTTTCGAAACTGAGGATGTGTCATGTTAGAACTCACTGAAGGAAGCTTGATGGCGGCAGGTGGAGGCTTGAACTGTGCGGCTGTAGACGTAGTACTTTCGACGTGCGGTGCTTGCAGAGCTGGAGAGGAGAGTACAGTCTGGATATGACCAAGAATTGCTAAAACGTCGCCAAGAACGGTAATGTTTATTGCCGTTAAGTGTTCTACAGTTAGCTGAGATATTGTTGCTTCGGTTAATCGATTTTCGACTAGTATTGTAGCGTATTTAGCCTCGATTTCATCCGGAATACTAGCTGCCGTGAGAAAAGTCTTCCATGCAGGTTCGTCTCGAAGTCGCAGCGCCATATTTAAGATCAATAATCGACAAGATTCATCCAAACAAAGCTTTATTCGATAAACAAACGAACAGCTAAAAACTAAAGCATGTGGTGTCCGCCATTACGCATCTGAATCCCCTATACTTCATGTAATAATATTATAAGTGAATCAACAACAACTATAAACATAATAGCAAATATTAAGGTATTGTTCAATACTGAAGTCCCTTTTCGTAGTTGGCCTCTCCACTGAGCGCAACATGTCATTAAGAGCAAAAAGAAGGTCAATATAATTATCATAAACCGAACAGACGGTCATTCAGTAATAGGCGAGCGCAAATGGCAAACGTATAACGCTTACAGTCATAACATGGGACATTCTAAACATATCTGATTTATTATAAATATACCTTTACCTTCCTCCGAATCTGACTCATCACTTGGGATATTGTCAAAATCTGAAAAAAATAAGATGTATCTGAAAGGGTAACATAACATAAAACTACTGATAAGATGAATTTTCCCTGGGCACCTGCACTCCTCCCGTATTTGAACAGCCCTGAACTTAATATATTGAATAATGTATGATGTAGTTGTAGTTTAATGCTCGTATTTTGACAGTACCTTGAAGGGTAATATCTCGTAGGTTTTTCCCTTTGAATTGATGGGCCCTCCCTTCATCGATGGCCATCAAAAGGTTGCCCACAACTGCCATCTCCAAGGTGCTTTCTTGCATCCGATAGAATTGTTTATGAATTTGGATGTCGTGCCCAAGATGTGTGGCCAGCCATCTGCGACACCGTCCCCGCATACTTTCTTAAACTGGTTGATGTGATAACGTCAGGATGCTGCAAGTCAACCATACTGCATGCCTGACGTATCACATCATTTCCTCTACGATGCTTTGTGGTTTTCTTTGGTCACATTTCCTTTTCCCCTGGTGCTATTAAGGACCACAATAGCCTCTTTCACGTCCGGTGTCAGCAAAACAGGCACCTTCCTGTTCCTCTTACCCATTATCTCCACCATATCGAATCTATAATTAATTTCAAATGATGCATCTTTAATAAATAATGTTTGTACAGTACAGAGTATTTTCTATGATTGGCAATTTTTTTCACGAACAAAGATCATCAAATCAAGTGTTACCAATAACCATGGAAATATTGAACAAACGTGAAACAATTATTTCGTAAATTAGTTCTTTCAAAGTTGGAATGGTGAAAAAATATTTTAAATATTGTAGTTACACTACGTAATTCTATTATCGCAATAATAAAAAAATGCGATAATAAAATTACACGTGTAACTACAAAATTTAAAATAATTATTTCATTAATTTCAATTTCAACAATGACATATTAGACCTGTCGGTTTACTTGCCTACCGTTTGCACAATTCTTTTTCTGTTGCGGAGAGGGAGGACAAAATTTCCTCGTTGTGGACATTTTCCCACAAGGGCCGCGATAAGAATACATCCAGCTGCATTCGAGAAGCTTCCCCACCTATTTTAAGAAAAATTACATTAAATGTTTTAATAAAATATGATACAAATACAAACGAGAACTACGAAACGCTGACAATTTTAGTATGCTCCACAATAGCTACAAGTGTACTTTTTAGTCGTTTTGGCAATTATGTACTTTACGTTCAACCAGATTTAGTAAATCATTTGGGCGACATGCCACTTGTTTCTAAAATGTAATTAACTCACTGATTTTTTTCTCCAGAATTTAGGAAGTAAAAATTTAATCTCAAGTGTTTCTGCTGCACTCCTGCGCATGAGATTTTAACGAATGCACGGGCCACTATTCAGTCGTCAACTGTTCCACAACAAAACAAACAAAAAATATGATAGGTATACCTCTACGTTTGTTGAAAATTATCAGTCTGGCCAACGCTAAAACTGCCAGCTTTCTCCAATTTTCTTTTGCTGGGTTTTCGCGGACTTTGTTAGTGAGGGCTAAAATATTGTCATGTAGGAAGGCTCGCAGAATCATCAGATCATTTGTGATGGGAAGATAGCGTGGCTTGTTATGTTTTTTGAACGAAAGATTTTGTAACGCCTGGCTGGTTACTTTGCCACTCCATTCACCCTCATACAGCTCCATGAAGTAGACCCATCAAGTTTTAGGATAGCAAAAAAATCGTAGGGTTTGGTGTAGAGCTCTACAGCGCTACACGAAGCGTGAAATCTTACACAGCTGTTATGTAGATCAATACCAGAAGTAAACCAGGGTTGAAAAATTATGTTGCCATGACAACGGAATTTTCCGACTGGTGTCTTTTCTGGATAAAAAATGCTGAGCCATTGTTTCCGAAAAAAATGCTGAACCGTTGTTTCCGAAAAAAATGCTGAACCGTTGCTTCCAAAAAAAAATATGCTGAACCAACTCTACAACTCTATAGTTCTACAACTCCACAGCTCTACAGCACTACAACTCTACAGCTCTACAACTCTACAACGTACTCTATAGCTCTACAACTCCACAGCTCTACAGCACTACAACTCTACAGCTCTACAACTCTACAACGTACTCTATAGCTCTACAACTCCACAGCTCTACAGCTGTACAACTCTACAGCTCTACAACTCTACAGCTCGACAACTCTTCAGCTCTACAGCTCTACAGCACTACAGCTCTACAGCTCTACAGCTCTACAGCTCTACAGCACTACAGCTCTACAGCACTACAGCTCTACAACTCTACAGCTCTACAGCTCTACAGCTCTACAGCTCTACAACTCTACAACTCTTCAGCTCTACAACTCTACAGCTCTACAGCTCTACAGCTCTACAGCACTACATCACTACAGCTCTACAATTCTACAGCTCTACAATTCTACAGCTCTACATCACTACAGCTCTACAATTCTACAGCTCTACAATTCTACAGCTCTACATCACTACAGCTCTACAACTCTACAACTCTACAGCTCTACAGCTCTACAAGCTCTACAGCTCTACAAGCTCTACAGCTCTACAAGCTCTACAGCTCTACAGCACTACAGCTCTACAGCACTACATCACTACAGCTCTACAGCTCTACAACTCTACAGCACTACAGCTCTACAACTCTACAGCTCTACAGCTCTATACAACACTACAACTCTGCAGCTCTACAACTCTACAACTCGACAACTCCACAGCTCGACAACTCTTCAGCTCGACAACTCTTCAGCTCTACAACTCTTCAGCTCTACAGCACTACAGCTCTACAACTCTACAGCTCTACAGCTCTACAACTCTACAACTCTACAGCTCTACAGCTCTACAACTCTACAACTCTACAGCTCTACAACTCTACAGCACTATACAGCTCTACAACTCTACAGCTCTACAACTCTACAGCTATACAGCTATACAGCTCTACAACTTTACAGCTCTACAACTTTACAGCTCTACAACTTTACAGCTCTACAACTTTACAGCTCTACAACTTTACAGCGCTACAACTCTGCAGCTCCGGCTCTACAGCTCTATAATTAATATTTAATGCTCTATAATCAATGTGTCTGTACCAAGTTCATTACAAATTAAGATAAATTATTATGCATGGTGACTGGTAGCAAATAAAATTAATAAGTATTTTAAACGAGTGAAACAATGAAATATAATACCATTGATCAACCTTAATTAAGCTTACTTTGGTTACTGCAGCCCGCTCTGCGACAATTGTTGAATTGGCCTCAACGACAGGCCATGCAGAAATATCAAAATCGCGCGGCAGGATTAATTTCTGGGGCAACCTATGGGAAATTGATCTCCTAATCTGCTTGAAAATCTTCACTGGAAACCCCTATAGAGTAAACCACAACTGCCTAAAATCAATCTTCATCCATAAAATTGTGAACGACCACACCGCACCCAATCTAAAATGGTCCTTCCAATTAAATAAAGAAACGGATAACACCTACAATCTTAGAAATAGAGAAACTGTCTGACTTCGCACTTCCTAAGAGGTGCTATTTCGGCAAGAGGTGCTGTAACTATAATGGTGCTGCACTTTGGAATAGCCCTACCATATGATTCAAAAATTAATCTGTAAGTTCCTTTAAAGTGTATATGACATCAAATTTCATATTTTCTCCTTAAATGAAAGAACTCTTTAAGCTGTAGGGTAACTTATTTTTCAGTTTCTTGTTTTTATGGTTTGTTCCCGAGATATTTCAATTTGTTTGATATGTAAATGAGTGTGACCTTACACTGGTTATAAATCTATTAACTCTAAAAACTGTAGATATCAGTTCACGTTTTTCTCCAGTGTTTCATCACATTCACGAGTGAGTGAAGTTTGAAATTATCACTTGGATGATAGCAGTGATATCCAACCGTTTTGAAGAGCTTGCAACCAATGTGACGTCATAATTTAGCGGACATACTCACATTCATTTACATATCAAACAAATTGAAATATCTCGGGAACAAACCTAGCCTACAAACCATAAAAACAAGAAACTGAAAAATAAGTTACACTACAGCTTTAAAACGATCATTTTTTTCATCTTTGAATCTGGATAAGATATATAATTCATAGTGACTAGTGTTCTCTTGCTTCTACTTTCGTTATTTCTTATTTTAATCTTCTTATTATGTAACATACTGCGTGTATATTGAGGCTAGTGTGTTTCAATAATTAAAAGTTTGTACGCGTATTATGTATGAACAAGCAATGCTTTCTATGAAGGTTTTTTTACTCAAAACAAGTAGATTAGTAAACATTATATAACGACTTTAGCAAGCTTTCATTGGTAGGAATGCAACTGGAAATATATACTAGCTAGCTAAGAATAATACACAGACAGAGCTGGGCAAATAGTTGGTCTTTGCATGGTGCATGCATGGGTTCACCAAAAATTAAGTCGACTATGCATGTCAATGATGCGAATTCCTTGCTCTTTGCCTTGGGAGCAATGCATATGACATGCACGTATGTGCCATGCCATATGATACATACATGTAGTAGGTGTAGCAGGTGTGGGCCACTGCCATATCATGGGCCCCTAAAATGAAAACATTAGAAACAA